TGGTGCGGAGACAGATTCTCGCCACGCCACCTGGTAGGAGTGACCTGTCAGGTAGGACGCAATCCAAGAGTGAGCAGCGCTGGAGATGCCCAACTCGGAGAGGGTGGAGAGGAGGATCTGATGGTTCACAGTATCAAAGGCAGCGGATAGGTCTAGAAGGATAAGAGCAGAGGAGAGAGAGTTAGCTTTAGCAGTGCGGAGAGCCTCTGTGACACAGAGAAGAGCAGTCTCAGTTGAATGACCAGTCTTGAAACATGACTGGTTTGGATCAAGAAGGTCATTCTAAGAGAGATAGCAGGAGAGTTGGCTAGAGACGGCACACTCAAGAGTTTTGGAGAGAAAAGAAAGAAGGGATACTGGTCTGTAGTTGTTGACATCGGAGGGATCGAGTGTAGGTTTTTTGAGGAGGGGTGCAACTCTCGCTCTCTTGAAGACGGAAGGGACATGGCCAGTGGTCAAGGATGAGTTGATGAGCAAGGTGAGGTAAGGGAGAAGGTCTCCGGAAATGGTCTGGAGAAGAGAGGAGGGGATAGGGTCAAGCGGGCAGGTTGTTGGGCGGCCGACCGTCACAAGTCGCAAGATTTCATCTGGAGAGAGAGGGGAGAAAGAAGTCAAAGCATAAGGTAGGGCAGTGTGAGCAGGACCAGCGGTGTCATTTGACTTAATAAATGAGGATCGGATGTCGTCAACCTTCTTTTCAAAATGGTTGACGAAGTCATCCACAGAGAGGGAGGAGGGAGGGGGAGGAGGAGGAGGATTCAGCAGGGAGGAGAAGGTGGCAAAGAGCTTCCTAGGGTTAGAGGCAGAGGCTTGAAATTTAGAGTGGTAGAAAGTGGTAGAAAGTGGCTTTAGCAGCGGAAACAGAGGAAGAGAATGTAGAGAGGAGGGAGTGAAAAGATGACAGGTCCGCGGGGAGTCTAGTTTTCCTCCATTTCCGCTCGGCTGCCCGGAGCCCTCTTCTGTGAGCTCGCAATGAGTCGTCAAGCCACGGAGCAGGAGGGGAGGACCGAGCCGGCCGGGAGGATAGGGGACATAGAGAGTCAAAAGATGCAGAAAGGGAGGAGAGGAGGGTTGAGGAGGCAGAATCAGGAGATCAGAGGGAGAAGGGTTTAGCAGAGGGAAGAGATGATAGGATGGAAGAGGAGAGAGTAGCGGGAGAGAGAGAGTGAAGGTTGCGACGGCACATTACCATCTGAGTAGGGGCAGAGTGAGTAGTGTTGGAGGAGAGCGAGAGAGAAAAGGATACAAAGTAGTGGTTGGAGACTTGGAGGGGAGTTGCAGTGAGATTAGTAGAAGATGAGGTCAAGCGTATTGCCTGCCTTGTGAGTACGGGGGGACGGTGAGAGGGTGAGGTCAAAAGAGGAAAGGAGTGGAAAGAAGGAGGCAGAGAGAAATGAGTCAAAGGCAGACGTAGGGAGGTTAAAGTCAGGGCGATAAATGACAAGGATGTTAAGCTTGAATGGGCTAGTGACTGTGACAGCATGGAATGCAAATGAGGAGATAGACAGATGGGTCAGGGGAGAAAGAGAGAATGTCCACTTGGGAGACATGAGGATTCCTGTGCCACCGCCGCGCTGACCAGATGCTCTCGGGGTATGCGAGAACACATGGTCAGACGAGGAAAGAGCAGTATGAGTAGCAGTGTTTTCTGTGGTAATCCATGTTTCCGTCAGCGCCAAGAAGTCGAGGAACTGGAGGGTAGCATAGGCTGAGATGAACTCTGCCTTGCCAAACAGTGTACAGATTTCAGACTGAATGTCAAATACAACAGACCACATGAACTAGAATGACATTTATGTTCACGGGTGGGCAAAAAAAAGTGAGAAGCCATGCCCCCAATAAGCCACGCCTCCAACTCTTCTGATAGACTGCCGCAATGCACTTGTGCATGAGAAGCGTTCATTTAATTTTTTTTTATCACATTGATCTGGCAAATTCCTTATTTGATTTCAGACAAATTGAATAGAATAGGTTGAACGAACCAAAGCACAATTTACGATTTTCCCAATCAGTAAAAGCTCTTCAGAGGAACAACCCCACCATCCCACAACCCCACACTCTACAGTGTGAGGAGGCAGAAGAGGGTAGTGGGTTCATAAGATTTGAGGAAATGATTCTGAAACAAGGAAGAGGGGGGATTTTCTCTAAGAGTTGGAGGGGAATGGAGAAAGGAGGTACATTTCCCACCGAGGAGTGTGTTTCAGAGAGCTTAAAATAAATGTAGGCTAACCAAAAGCAAGTGAGAGAAGATTGTAGGACAGGCCTATAGGCTACTCTTATGGAGGATCAAACCTGCCATAATTAGAAATGAATGAATAAATAAATGCACACATAAATAAGTAAATGAGCAAGGAAATACAAAACTACTGACCAAAATGCATTCATTTTTCTCTACATACAGTATCTGTATGTATTAAATGATTGATCTATTATCTAATTATTCAGGTTTTAATTTATATATTTATTTATTTATGTATTCTTATGTATCTTCCTCCAATATGATAATGAGGGGGTGTCATTCAAACATCTGTGGGTGGTATCTAACACACTATTGGTTGATTCGTCCGAAAAGTAAACAATCGAACAACAAACACAAATCAAATCAAATTAAATGTAGTTATATAGCCCTTTTTACATCAGCAGATGTTACAATCTCCTGAGTGGCGCAGTGGTCTAAGGCACTGCATCGCAGTCCTCGCTGTGCCACTAGAGATCCTGGTTCGAATCCAGGCTCTGTCGCAGCCGGCCGCGACCAGGAGACTCATGGGCGGCGCACAATTGGCCCAGCGTCGTCCAGGGTAGGGGAGGGAATGGCCGGCAGGGATGTAGCTCAGTTGATAGAGCATGGCGTTTGCAACGTCAGGGTTGTAAGTCGCTCTGGATAAGAGCGTCTGCTAAATGACTTAAATGTAAATGTACAATACGTATGGAGCTCACTGTAGCTACAGTAGCCCAGTTCTTCTGGCAGGTAGAATGGCTGCAAGTGATAACAAAGAGTCCTGGTGCAGCACACCATAGATAATCACCCTCTGGGCCATCATAATCATACCGTTTTTCAACTGGTCGTTCAGTATAGTACCGTTTCCGTTGAATTAAACATTGAACACCGTTCTGTCGTACTGAATGCACCCCAGGCAAATCCAAATTCAGCAGAGCGCCGTGACATTGATCAAGCAATTGTGTGCTAGATACCACCCACATACTGTATGTTTGCTTGACACCCTCTCATTATCCTATTGGAGGAAGAAATGCAAAATAAATGAATAAAATAATTGAATAATTATTAAAATCATTATTTATCTATTTATGTGTGCATTTGTTTATTTATCTATTTATATGTGCATTTATTTATTTATGTATTTATGTGTGCATTTATTTACTAATTTATTTGTAATTATGGCAGGTTTGATCCTCCATAGTTTGAAGGCCCAATATTGAAGATGCATTTGACACTAATTTGTGGGGCTTTGACTGACATTTACCAGTAATGGTAAAAATAATACAAAACTATTCGATTTTTTATGTATTTATTTCTATTTAATCTTTTACATATTTTCATGTTATTTCAAAATAATATTTCATGTTATTAACATAGTTTATTTGCTCAATTGCAGTACAATTCAATTATACTGTAATTACGTTAGGGTAATATGAGCTAGTGAAAGATTCGCCTCCGTACTTTCGCCAAAACGCAAACTTGTGTCGAAGGTGTCGGCAGGAACTTCAAGCCATTGATTCACTAAAACAAACTTTGCTATACACGTTAACCTGATGATAATTTTCATTGTGACTAAGTCAAATGAAAACCGTTCGAGGTGATTTTGAAACTTTTTGTCAACGAAATTGCTTGTGATTATGGGGGAGAGGACTTCGCAATACAGTTACCAAAAGGGCTATGCAAGGTAATTAAAATGCAGTGTAAGTGTCAGTAAATACAATGTCAATTCTACGGTAGCTAGCTAGCTAGCTAACTATTTTCAGATATTGCAGTGTCCCGCGTTCGTGGTTTGCAATTCAATACCTGGAATAGTCTATGGCACCAACACAGCTGTCATCCATGTTGTCTTGCTATCAGTGCAGTTTCATTTAGGGACAGGAGATGGCGCTGTTCACTCATCTCAGACTCCAGTTGCGGTGTATGACAAGTAATAATAATTTGATTTGTGATACTTCTATATGTCATATATTTCCACTTAAAATACATACGAATTGTCAGTATTTATTCATCAAGTAGATATATCTGTCTAATTGTGTTTTTTGTTTGTTTTCCCCACTGTACCTCAGCGGTACGACAGTGTGTGAATGGAGTGGATCTATTCTACCAGCAGACTGGAACAGGAGCGCATGCTTCGTTACTACTGCCTGGAGCTCTGGGTAGGTAACAACACTAGTAACATGGTCCCCAGGCTATAAGTGTCTGGTGCACAACACTATGACCTGTCACTTCACCCAACCTTGACCATTAACTGTCTAAAGTTGTAGATGATGATCTCTTTCAAATGTGAAGTAGCCTAAATCATGCATGTCATACTACTGATTAAGGCGTCTGCCTATCAGAGCATCAACAATATTTATAGTGACTTTGATATTGAGAGGTGACTGATGTTGAGAGGACCTCAAACCTATTAGCCTACAGTATAAACAACTTCATGAAAACAATAGAATTGACACCTCTAATGTTGGTTACTGATGTTGTGCGGGTTCAATGTTCTGTTAAGCTGTGTGTGTTCTTATCATAGGAAGTGTTCAGACTGACTTTGGGCCGCAGCTGAAGTCTGTTAATAAGGAATTCTTCAGGGTCATTGGCTGGGACCTTCGCAGGTACAGAAACTTCCGCCTCCCGGATAGACTTCCCTCTGAACTTCTTTGAAAGGGATGCCCAGGATGCTGTGGACCTGATGCAGGTCTGACCAATCAGTGCAGAGTGATTTTCCTTTTTACACAGAGATAAAAATGACTTACATTAACTACACAGCTGCCTCTCACTCTCTGTTTGTGTGATGGACGGTAAGTTCTGTTTTTCGTTTTTACTCATTAGCAAATGTGTGTCTTTGTCATCTATGCTCATCTGTGAATGTGTGCCTTTTTTCTCTGTGTTTCTCTGTGACTGTGTGTTTTCTCCTTCAGGCGTTGAGTTTCCCAGGTTCTCTCTGTTGGCCTGGAGTGATAGAGCCAAGAACCCCTCTCTGATCAATAAGATGGTGGTGTGGGGCTCCAACGCATATGTCTCACCCCAAGACAAACATCTACAGTGGTGAGGTCTTGTTATTTGTGTGTGTGACTGGATGAGGCAGCTCTGCATGTGTGTGTGTTTGTGTGTTACAGCCTGTATGTATGTGTGTGTGTATGTGTGTCCTCAGCGATCCATGATGTGTCTCAGTGGAGTGAGAGGATGAGGAGGCCCATGGAGGAGGTATATGCGGCAGAGCTCTTCATTAAGACCTGGGAAGGATGGGTGGACGGGAATGGACAGTTCGCCCAGAGACCAGAAGGTAAGAGCAACAACATCGTTGCATCAAAGATTCCAATTTTCCAGTTCCAATTGTCAGTTCCTGTGTTAGGGAGTATCTGTATGGATCTGTGAGAAAGACCCAAAGGTAGGATTTTACAGTGAGGAGGCAATAATGCAGAACTGATTATTCTTGCCAAGATTTAGGCTTTTATTAGCAAACTGACTACATTATTTCTATGTCAATGTATGAAAAGACATACTGGCTGTACATTATTTCTATGTCAATGTTTAACTACAACCACTAATGGTACAACCTCTACTACAACTTCTTCTGCTGTGTCCAGGTTGCACCTGATGCCGGAAGGACAATACAACCTGCACCTGAGGTTTGCTGTTGGAAGACTTCCTGAGCAAGTGATGGACATACTGTCTGCGTCCCAAATGGTACTGTATTCCTATTGACTATGGCCCATAGGGTTCTGTTCAAAAGAAGTGCCGTATGTAATAATAATAATTTGGTGTGTACTTATATTTTCTCTGTTTCACACATGTACAAGTCTGCATTATACGCATGTGTGAAATGGAAATGTGTTTTTTGCATATCCCAACTCCCCCTGAGACACCCTCAGAGAGTGTGGTCGCGGCCAGACATTATCAACAGCGACCCTGGAGCAATTAGGGTTAAGTGCCTTGCTCAAGGGCACATCGACAGATTTTTCACCTTGTCGGCTCAGTGATTCAAAATAGCGACCTTTTGGTTACTGCCCCAACACTCTAGGCTACCTGTAGGGTTTAGGGTGCCATTTCGGATACACAAATAATGCGCCCACATGAGACGAAAAGCTTTCAGGCCTGGGTCTGTGCTCTGTGTTCCAAGAGTCATCAAGAGTGGACAACATTGAAGGACCACTACAGCAAGCGACACTCAATCCGAGTCTGTTCCATTAATTAACAGACTATTATCAGTTAATTACTGGTATATGAGCCAAAATCAATACCCATCCACATGAGTATTGCAAATGTTATGAATATATTCATTGTGTAATTTAAAAGCTTTTGTGTATTACATTTTGCATCATTTGTATCGTTGTGTATGGCTTCTGTGTGTCCAGTCCTCTGTTTTGTGTGTGGCATGTTATGGAAATGTTGCATTTGCACTAACTGTTATGCCATATAAAACAAAGCAAAAGAAAAGAGTATAAAAATGAGTCATTCAATAACAATTTTAATCAGACATTGTTGTCATTATTAAGTACAGTGGGGGAAAAAAGTATTTAGTCAGCCACCAATTGTGCAAGATGAGAGAGGCCTGTAATTTTCATCATAGGTACAAGTCAACTATGACAGACAAATTGAGAAATAAAAATCCAGAAAATCACATTGTAGGATTTTTTATGAATTTATTTGCAAATTATGGTGGAAAATAAGTATTTGGTCACCTACAAACAAGCAAGATTTCTGGCTCTCACAGACCTGTAACTTCTTCTTTAAGAGGCTCCTCTGTCCTCCACTCGTTACCTGTATTAATGGCACCTGTTTGAACTTGTTATCAGTATAAAAGACACCTGTCCACAACCTCAAACAGTCACACTCCAAACTCCACTATGGCCAAGACCAAAGAGCTGTCAAAGGACACCAGAAACAAAATTGTAGACCTGCACCAGGCTGGGAAGACTGAATCTGCAATAGGTAGGCAGCTTGGTTTGAAGAAATCAACTGTGGGAGCAATTATTAGGAAATGGAAGACATACAAGACCACTGATAATCTCCCTCGATCTGGGGCTCCACGCAAGATCTCACCCCGTGGATTCAAAATGATCACAAGAACGGTGAGCAAAAATCCCAGAACCACACGGGGGGACCTAGTGAATGACCTGCAGAGAGCTGGGACCAAAGTAACAAAGCCTACCATCAGTAACACACTACGCCGCCAGGGACTCAAATCCTGCAGTGCCAGACGTGTCCCCCTGCTTAAGCCAGTACATGTCCAGGCCCGTCTGAAGTTTGCTAGAGTGCATTTGGATGATCCAGAAGAGGATTGGGAGAATGTCATATGGTCAGATGAAACCAAAATATAACTTTTTGGTAAAAACTCAACTCGTCGTGTTTGGAGGACAAAGAATGCTGAGTTGCATCCAAAGAACACCATACCTACTGTGAAGCATGGGGGTGGAAACATCATGCTTTGGGGCTGTTTTTCTGCAAAGGGACCAGGACGACTGATCCATGTAAAGGAAAGAATGAATGGGGCCATGTATCGTGATATTTTGAGTGAAAACCTCCTTCCATCAGCAAGGGCATTGAAGATGAAACGTGGCTGGGTCTTTCAGCATGACAATGATCCCAAACACACCGCCCGGGCAACGAAGGAGTGGCTTCGTAAGAAGCATTTCAAGGTCCTGGAGTGGCCTAGCCAGTCTCCAGATCTCAACCCCATAGAAAATCTTTGGAGGGAGTTGAAAGTCTGTGTTGCCCAGCGACAGCCCCAAAACATCACTGCTCTAGAGGAGATCTGCATGGAGGAATGGGCCAAAATACCAGCAACAGTGTGTGAAAACCTTGTGAAGACTTACAGAAAATGTTTGACCTGTGTCATTGCCAACAAAGGGTATATAACAAAGTATTGAGAAATGTTTGTTATTGACCAAATGCTTATTTTCCACTATAATTTGCAAATAAATTCATTAAAAATCCTACAATGTGATTTTCTGGAGAAAAAAATGCTCATTTTGTCTGTCATAGTTGACGTGTACCTATGATGAAAATTACAGGCCTCTCTCATCTTTTTAAGTGGGAGAACTTGCACAATTGGTGGCTGACTAAATACTTTTTCCCCCCACTGTAAACAATGAGTTTTCATTTTTTTTAAATGTATGTTCTCCTACAGGCACAGCAGTGTTAGTTACAATGAGCCTTTCCATCTTTGGACGGACACATTTTACATCAGAACAAAAGCACTACTACATGCTCTCCCTCTTGTGAATATTATTGTTTATTGATCACAAACTTGATCCCAAATGTAGAAGAAGCCTCCGTAGACGATAGTTCTCCTCCTTTGAACTGGAGATCTCTTCCAGGTACTCTGCTATCATCTTTTCCACTATCCTGAATATATCAACTGCCGCTGATTTTAATCGCTCGGTGATAAACACATTCAAAAGCTCTAATTTGGACATTAAACCTAAGATTAACCCTAAAGATACTCGTCAACTTCTAACCATGTTTAGCATTTTCTGGTTTCCACTAGTTACCACAGCCACAAAGCCAAAATGGGCTATAGTTTGAAAAAAAATTTATGAAAACAAAAATGTGCTTTTTGGTCTTAATTTAAGGTTAGGGTTAGGTATAAGGTTGGCAGTGTGGTTAAGGTTAGGGTTAGGCTTAAAATCACATTTTAAGAAGATAAATTGTAGAAATAGGCAGGGTTTATTACTTTGGCTGTGGTAACTAGTGACAAGCACATTTTCCTGGCCGAACTTGCAAAGTTCAAACTTCCGGGTTCAAAAAGACGTTGACACTTTGACCCAATGAAAATCAAGCAAAGGCGGGAGGAATACACTGCTAGCCAATCATGAAGTTCAAACTCGCATAGTGAGAGGATTTGTTTTGCCCGGGCGTGTTTTGCACCAGCTGAATGTGGATTTTATTCTATTTGTAACCCGGCTGCCTCCCAGACATTAGCCAGGTGCCTGGTCAAAGCCCACGGCGAAGTCGGCTCAAAACAACAGCACGTGGAGTAATGATTAGGATTCTGTGTTTTCACATGCAAAAGTGATTTTTTTATAAAAATGTGTTAGCCTATCTGCATTCCCAACCGTAAATAGTCTCAGAGGCCCCTATTTACACTGACCAGCCTGGGAGGGATCTTTATTATAGACCAGCCTCTGATACCCTATTTACACGGACCAGCCTGGGAGGAAACATTATTATAGACCAGCATCTGAGGCTGCTATTTACACTGACTATCCTGGGAGAAACCTTTATTACAGACCAGCCTCCAAGGCCTCTATTTACACTGACCAGCCTGGCAGAAAGCTTTATAGACCAGCCTCCAAGGCCCCCCAGCCTGGGAGGAAGCTTTATTTTAGACCAGCCTCCGAAGCCACTATTTACATTGACCAGCCTGCAAGGAAGCTTTATTATCCCTATTTACACTGACCAGCTTGGCACTGAAGCTTTATTATAGACCAGCCTCCGAGGCTGCTATTTACACTAACCAGCCTGCAAGGAACCGTTATTATCCCTATTTACACTGACCATCCTGCAACAAATCTTTATTATAGATCAGCCTGGGAGAAACCTTTATTATAGACCAGTCTCTGAGGCCCCTATTTACACTGACCAGCCTAGCAGGAAGCTTTATAGACCAGTCTCTGAGGCCCTTAATTACACTGACCAGCCTGGGAGGGATCTTTATTATAGACCAGCATCTGAGGCTGCTATTTACACTGACCATCTTGGGAGAAACCTTTATTATATACCAGCCTCTGAGGCCCCTATTTACATTGACCAACCTGCAAGGAAGCTTTATTATCCCTGTTTACACTGACCATCCTGCAAGGAACCTTTATTATAGACCAGCCTGGGAGGAACCTTTATTATAGACCAGGCTCTGAGGCCCCTATTTACACTGACCAGCCTAGCAGGAAGCTTTATCGACCAGTCTCAGAGGCCCCTATTTACACTGACCAGCCTGGGAGGGATCTTTATTATAGACCAGCCTCTGAGACCCTATTTACACGGACCAGCCTGGGAGGAAACATTATTATAGACCAGCATCTGAGGCTGCTATTTACACTGACTATCCTGGGAGAAACCTTTATTATAGACCAGCCTCAAAGGCCCCTATTTGCACTGACCAGCCTGGGAGGAAGCTTTATTCCAAATCCCCTTATTCCACATTTTGTTGTGTTACAGCCTGAATAAAAAATTGATTAAATATATGTTTTTTTCTCACCCATCAGTAGTTTTAGTTGATCCAGTAGTGAGCGGCAAGGGTTCTTTCAAGGGTTCTTCTTTATTTTTTACTATTTTCTACATTGTATAATAATAGTGAAGACATCAAAACTATGAAATAACACATATGGAATCATGTAGTAAACAAAAAAGTGTTAAACAAATCAAAATATATTTTATATTTGAGATTCTTCAAATAGCCACCCTTTGCCTTGATGACAGCTTTGCACACTCTTGGCATTCTCTCAACCAGCTTCACCTGGAATGCTTTTCCAACTGTCTTGAAGGAGTTCTCACATATGCTTAGCACTTGTTGGCTGCTTTTCCTTCACTCTGCCGTCCGACTCATCCCAAACCATCTCAATTGGGTTGAGGTCGGGTGATTGTGGAGGCCAGGTCATCTGATGCAGCACTCCATCACTGTCCTTCTTGGTAAAATTGCCCTTACACAGCCTGGAGGTGTGTTGGGTCATTGTCCTGTTGAAAAACAAATCATAGTCCCACTAAGCCCAAACCAGATGGGATGGCGTATCGCTGTAGAACGCTGTAGTAGCCATGCTGGTTAAGTGTGCCTTGAATTCTAAATAAATCACAGACAGTGTCACCAGCAAAGCCCCCCACACCATAACACCTCCTCCTCCATGCTTTACGGTGGGAACTACACATGCAGACATAATCCGTTCACCCACACCGCGTCTCACAAAGACACGGCAGTTGGAACCAAAAATCTCAAATTTGGACTCCAGACCAAAGAACACATTTCCACCGGTCTAATGTCCATTGTTCGTGTTTCTTGGCCCAAGCAGGTCTCTTCTTCTTATTGGTGTCCTTTAGTAGTGGTTTCTTTGCAGCAATTCGACCATGAAGGCCTGATTCACACAGTCCCCTCTGAACAGTTGATGTTGATATGTGTCTGTGACATGAACTCTGAAGCATTTATTTGGGTTGCAATTTCTGAGGCTGGTAACTCTAATGAACTTATCCTCTGCAGCAGAGGTAACTCTAGGTCTTCCATTCCTGTGGTGGTCTTCATGAGAGCCAGTTTCATCATAGCGCTTGATGGTTCCATATGTGTTATTTCATAGTTTAAGAAAAACCCTTGAATGAGTAGGTGTGTCCAAACTTTTGACTGGTAGTGTAGGTGTAGGGTTGGTTGGTGGTGCAATTATTATATATTTTTCTTCCTTTTTATTTTTGTATCACAAATGTAACGTGATTGAACACGTAACATTTTTTGTGCGGCATGCACACAAAAAAAAGGTGTGAACACCATGATACCGAAGAAGAAGAAGAAGGGCTGCTGTACGATTTGCAGTAGTCTGCACTGTGCCTTGCACTTGAGAGGTTGGATTAGCAACATCTGCACCCCTGCAATTGCAGCAAAGTATCTAAAGGTGTATTCATGGTGGACATTTTGCGAGCATAGAGATAGCCAGACTAGTAAATTGGGCTAAGGAACAGAAGGTTGGTATTGGAGAAAGGCCATCAGTGAGTGTTCTGCAAGCAGTACAGTGGGAGCGTGGTGAACGGATGGACGTAGTTTTGGAATGTGAGGAACAAGGAGAAGAGCCGCAGTGAGAGGATGTACAGCGGCTTGTGAAAGTATTCACCCCCTTGGCATTTTTCCTATTTTGTGGCCTTACAACCTGGAATTTAAATGGGTTTTTTGGGGGTTTGTATAATTAGATTTACACAACATGCCTACCACTTTGAAGATGCAAAATATTTTGAAACTAAAAAGAAATAAGACAAAAAAACAAAACTTGAGCGTGTATAACTATTCACCCCCCCAAAGTCAATACTTTGTAGAGCCACCTTTTGCAGCAATTACAGCTGCAAGTCTCTTGGGGTATGTCTCTATAAGCTTGGCACATCTAGTCACTGGGATTTTTGCCCATTTATTTAAGGCAAAACTGCTCCAGCTCCTTCAAGTTGGATGGGTTCCGCTGGTGTACAGTAATCTTTAAATTATACCATAGATTCTCAATTGGATTGAGGTCTGGGCTTTGACTAGGTCATTCCAAGACATTTAAATGTTTCCCCTTAAACCACTCGAGTGTTGCTTTAGCAGTATGCTTAGGTTCATTGTCCTGCTGGAAAGTGAACCTCCGTCCCAGTCTCAAATCTCTGGAAGACTGAAACAGGTTTCCCTCAAGAATTTCCATATATTTAGCGCCATCCATCATTCCTTCAATTCTGACCAGTTTCCCAGTCCCTGCCAATGAAAACATCCCCACAGCATGATGCTGCCACCACCATGCTTCACTGTGGGGATGGTGTTCCCGGGGTGATGAGAGGTGTTGGGTTTGCGCCAGACATAGCGTTTTCCTTGATGGCCAAAAACCTCAATTTTAGTCTCATCTGACCAGAGTACCTTCTTCCATGTGTTTGGGGAGTCTCCCACATGCCTTTTGGCGAACACCAAACGTGTTTGCTTTTTTTTTTTCTTTAAGCAATGGCTTTTTTCTGGCCACTCTTCCGTAAAGCCCAGCTCTGTGGAGTGTACGGCTTAAAGTGGTCCTATGGACAGATACTCTAATCTCCGCTGTGGAGCTTTGCAGCTCCTTCAGGGTTATCTTTGGTCTCTTTGATGCCTCTCTGATTAATGCCCTCCTTGCCTGGTCCGTGAGTTATGGTGGGCTGCCCTCTAGGTTTGTTGTGGTGCCATATTCTTTCAATTTTTTAATAATGGATTTAAAGGTGCTCCATGGGATGTTCAACGTTTCTGATATTTTTTTATAACCCAACCCTGATCTGTACTTCTCCACAACTTTGTCCTTGACCTGTTTGGAGAGCTCCTTGGTCTGCATGGTGCCGCTTGCTTGGTGGTGCCCCTTGCTTAGTGGTGTTGCAGACTTTCAGAACAGGTGTATATATACTGAGATCATGTGACAGATCATGTGACACTTAGATTGCACACAGATGGACTTTATTTAACTAATTATGTGACTTCTGAAGGTAATTGGTTGCACCAGATCTTAATTAGGGGCTTCATAGCAAAGAGGGTGAATACATATGCACGCACCACTTTTCTGTTATTGATTTTTTTGAAACAAGTACATTTTTTCATTTCACTTCACCAATTTGGACTATTTTGTGTATGTCCATTACATGAAATCCAAATAAAAATCAATTTAAATTACAGGTTGTAATGCAACAAAATAAGAGAAAACGCCAAGGGGGATGAATACTTTTGCAAGGCACTGTATGTGGAGGAAGAATGGTTCCAAGTACAAACCATATTCTGCTGTCTGATGGCTCAGCAATTGAACCTGACGAGAGTGAGGATGAATTACCTGTCGTGGCAGGTGTGGGGTCAAGTCCGAGCCTCTCCCCGATGGTCATGCAAAGGATGATTCGGGCCCAGTGGGAGTGACATTTTTGGAGAAAGTGGATCCCTGCCTTTTGGCTGATCCATATGTAGTCTCAGGCTGGGTAGAAAATAAGTTGGGTACTGTTAAATTGGTAAAGGTAGCTCGAAGTGGACTTGTGATGATTTTCTGTGTTTATTCCATCCAAAGGGAGCGGGTGCTTTGCGTCACGCACCTAGGGACAATTTCTGTGACTTGCTTTACTCTCCGGAGCAGGGCGCCTTTGAAAGAAGTGATTACTGGGGTGGTTTTAAGTGTTGAAGTGGAGCAACTGAAATGGAAGATTCCCTGTGTCTGTGATGCTCGCCACTTGGTGTACCGCAGACCCGGTGGCGAGTGTGGTGAAACTGAGAAGACACTGTCTGTTCTTTTGAGTTTTGAAGCATAGTCTTTACCTGATAAAGTAATGTTAAGGTATGTCAGTTATCCCGTGAGAGCTTGTGTGCCGAACCCTCTAAGGTGCCAAGCTTATGGTCATGTTGCATCAGTGTGTAGGAGGGAGATTCCGAGATGTGAGAAGTGTGCAGGAGGGCATGGGACAAAGGAATGTGTAGTATCATTGGGGAAAAAAACGTTGTGTCAATTGTGTGGATGCCCATGTTGCTGGGGATCAGAAGTGCCTGGTGCAAGGGAGACAGGTTGAGGTTGCCAGGGTCAGAGTAGAACTGAAGGTGTTGTATGCTGAGGCAGTCACCCTGGTGTGATCAGTTAGGGTTAAAGTAGTGGAATGGGGTGGTGATTTAAATGTTAATGAAATAGTGGTATATAGGTGTTAGTTGGTGGTGTAACTTTTTCCTTTTGCCCCTTCCTTTTTATTTTTGTACACAAAATGTAACGTGATCGATCACACACTACCGCACAGTAGGTGGCGGCATGCACAAACAAAGTGGGGACAGGGAGGTCTTCAGGCCGAGAGAGAAGGGAGGAAAGTGTAGTCACAAGGCTGAGACTGGGACACACAAGAATAAATAGTACATTGAAAGTGGTGGGGAAACATCCGACTGGGAGGTGTGATCATTGTCAGGAGGAGATGGAGACAGTGGAACATGTTCTATTTCAGTGCCAGAAATATGTGTGAGAAAAGGAGTGATTGTTATTAGATTTGAGGAGTAATTGGGTTGAAGAGCCAGGAATAAGTGAACTGCTGGAGAAATCTTCAGGGGTTGTAGTATTTAATTATGGATTTCGTTTCGTTAGGGAGACGAGATTATTGGGTAGGATTTAGACCGTCACTGTCTCTGGTCCACACTCCAGTCCAGTTGGTGGCGGTAACGCACCTGAAAGTTGGTTGCCAACCGCCATATAACATCCACAGAAGAAGAAGAAGAAGAAGAAGAAAAACGCACAAACAAAATATGCGAACGCTATGATACCAAAAAAGAAGAAGGGAGTTCTTGTTTATGGACGCACATGATTTGGTTGAAATGTTTGAATAATGGTCTGGTTTAGTCGTACTTTTCTTCATACAAACATCTATTCAACATGAACATAGCAGAAAGTGGAGCAGTAGGCGATGCCATTACAGTGCACGATTTCTCCGAGAAGATTCTGGAGCAAACGGTTCACTTTCACGTCATGAAACTCAATGGGGGATTTTTCCTTTGGGTGGGCTCGAAACCTGTTTTGTCCAACTTGGCTGTTTCAATGGACAGTAAATTTGTGAGTAGCCTCCTGAAAATATATTGTTTCAAAGCAGACTAGCTAATAGAGATGGGTTGTTAGCTAGCTTCACCGTGTAATGTTGTTAGCTAACTACTGTAACGTTATTCTCGGCTCATGGCGCTATGTCCTATTTGTAATATAGCTAAACTATCTGTGTGTTTTATATATATATTCAGGATTCGATGCCGCTGTCTACGTTAGTCCTGGGGGACTCATCGGACACCACTCCAAATTCATTGGCGCAGAGATTGAGTAAGCACCCTTTCATCCTGTCAATATCCTATCTTTCTCATGAGGATTGGCTGTATCAGAGAGGAAGAGGCGAGGCAAGAGGTTTTACTCTGCTCCAAATCAGTCCACGAAAATAAGACCACTAAGTGAGGAATTTTTGTATGGAGGACAATGTGTGTCGAATGTGTGTCGAAAAATGTAATAGCTAATTTGCTACGTGAGGCTTATTTGATCAAATAAAAGTTTCGTAATGGTTAGGTTGACATGAATGTACTGATTTAAATGGACCCACGTGGAATTTTGCCAACTGACTCCAAAACAATTTTATATCAGCATTGTGCCTGTTGTCATATAAATAGATAGCTGTCACAGACGCTATAATGGCACAGATACAAAGATGAGTCCTCTTATCTATCGCTATGAGAGAGGGAGAGAGATTTTCTGAATTTTAACGCTAAACTTAAAGGGATACTAGGAAATTATTTTTTTGTGCAAGGGTGCCAATATATTTGGCCGCATCAGTATGTACAGGATTTCATGTCTGTAGCTCAAACGGGACAGAAGATATGGTTGTTCAAAGTTTTCAGTTGATACTATAGCGCCCCCCTTGGCCCAATTAGTGTAACTTTGTAAATGCCGGATCTCTGGCAAGACTCATCATTCACCCACGTTTTGTCAAAATCAGGCCAGTGGTGTCTGAGATCACGTGTGACTTACATATGTACTAACGTGTACATATGAATGGAGGGAGACAGATCGATAGTCCCCCTCGATTTCATTGTGGGGTACAACAAACCATCTATTCATCCACACTCACACATAAATGCACACAGTCTGTGTATGTCATGAATTTCTAGATTTTGGTAATTGCTGAGTTAGTTTGTTCAAACTCATCCAAGTAAAGAAGGGGAAGCTAGATATTTGATCCCTGATGCCTCTATTGTTACACAACACGAGGCTACTAACATCAAAATGACGTGATGCCAATTTTAGGCTGCCACAACTGTTTTTACAGTCAAATCTGTCTAACCATCATTTATACAGTGATTTAGTTGATGGCTATATGTTATTCAGAACAATGACCGAAAGCTAGACGCTTAAACCACTAACCAGTATTATGCTTTATTGTTGGTGTCAGTTTTTCACAATCTGAAACATCACTAACCCAGCTGTCCTCCGTCTCCTTTGTGTTCCAGCTAAAAGGACTAAGAAACAGGTGTATGTGAGCTACAGCCTGCCCATGACTGACTCCAACCTGTCTCTGCTGGTAGAGAAGAGGATAAAGAAAGAGATGGAAGTTCACCCTGACAAGTTTTAACCTTTTACTAGTTTAATTTGTTTTGTACCGAAATAATACAAGGGAAAGAAAAACAAAATTACCTGTCTGGACTGTTCTGTAGATTGCTGTTTTAGCACTCATGAGTGAGATCTAACCAGAGACGGTCTCTGTGTAGAAGCAGCAGACACACACACACACTATATTTTCTGTGCCCACTGCCCGCAAACTCCGTCTACAGACATGTATCACCTCCAATAGTTCATTTATTTACATAATCAACGGGTTTATTATCAAAACAACATTTATGGCTTTAAAATTGACAAGTGCATCATATTTTTTTTAAACAACACTTAGAAAATATTAGTGGTTGACAATCAATCACTCATGGAATTTCATTTATTTTACCACAACATTTCATCGCTGAAAACATTTACAATCTAACAAATAAACAATACAAGGTGTCCATCATGTCAAAATATGTGCCATTTGCTTCAAATATGGTTCATGGTAGAAATGTATAGAGTATACCTGGCCTTTTAAGGTCATCTAGACACATCGTGTGACAAAATCTTCTATGAAAACTATTTGATATGCATAGTACATAAAACATATCATAGTCCATGCATTATCAATGAATGGCACATTAATACATACATTACATTTGGTATTCAATCATTTGTATGTTACAGAGTATAAAGTTTGTATACAAACACTGTCAGTCACAGCTATTCTAACTAGATCACACTATTGCACTATAACTTAATCTATTCTAGACACTAACAATTTCAAAACCCCTATAGATATTGTGATTCATGGCATGGCCAGACATTATTTAACCGTGCTAGAGAAACAGGTTTAAACCAGTCCTAAAAACAGCAATATACTAACATTATTTACCAGGGAGAGGAAAAGGTGAAAATTAGCTAAATTAGAGATATTTCAAGCAACATGAATGCCCTTGGCAACATGACAAAAATAAATACTGAATTACTGATAGATTATTTTCAAAGTCGCCTGTCCAGTTGAAATCAGAGGAGGTTTTTAAAAACTGAACAACCATTGTGATAAAGCCATTCAGAAGCTGAGATGTTTCATAGCGGAAACAGACTATGTCGCAAATGGCACCCTATTCCCTATGTAGGGCACTGCTTTATGATCAAAACTCTAAAGTAGTGAACTATGTAAGGAATAGGCTGCTATTTGGGACACACTCATACTAGTAACTAACTGGTCATTAGTATTGTTCACTCAACACTCAGTGCCTTAGATTTTCCATAGAATATGGAAATAAAAATACAATAAAAAAGTCCAAAGTTCAAACTAATTTCTATAGCCATCAGTTTCTTTAGGTTTCCGGCTGTCATTCACATATATAATTGTGTCGTCATTCACCAACATTAATGGGAGCTGCAGTACTCAGTTTTCTTAAGTCTTTACATTGATTCCACTACTACTAAGGATAAAGTGCCAAGTTTGGACTTTTGACAGGGGAGTGAGAGGCACAAATGAACCCATCAAGTAGGCTACAGTATATAGGCCTGACTTCTCCTTTTATTCAATTTCGAGTGCAGCAGTTTCACCCAAAATCTGTGCCTCAAATAAGTTGGCTGACAAATATTTGATTGAACTTTGAATTTTAATGCAAAAAGTTACACTAATAGAATTTGAAATGCATAGAGCACACATCACTGTCGAAAGACATTTCGAATGAAATATAGAATACCATGTCTGCTCTGCTGCTCTATACATTTGTCTCTCTCTGTGTTTAGAGTACACCACTCTGCTTATACCTTACAACAGAGACCATGACATCCCTCCTCAGCATGGAACCATGCTGGGACCATGGTACCCGTTAGACACACTGCCAACCCTTGGCAACATTTACCCTATGGCCACTAATACATGTAAGTCAATGTAATGAGTTTCTGTTCATTGCAAAGACATACACAGGTGTGTGAAAAATTCCATATTTTGTTTCAAGAATATCCTGTTCTATTGCAGGCCCTCAAAGACTTACTAAATCATATTGAGTGTCTGAAATAGTACCCTATTCCCTATATAGTGCACTATATGCACGCCGTGGTCAGAAGTAGTACACTATATAGGGAATAGGGTGGAATTTAGGATGCAAGCATAATCACTACTCTACAGGCTATCTGCTAATCCATCACCTCATTACATTACCACCCATTAAACCTCCAGGTAAAGATGCCTTCTTGGGGTGTCTGAACAGTAATGCCTTATTTTTCATTTTTGGGTTTTGTCCAAATCTTGGATGTCCATGACCTCAATTTCCACCTTTCTCACAAACGAGACGTTGAAGGATTGTGTCACAAGACTAATGAGAGGGTAATCATTTCTTGATTAAACCAACCGGAAGGTTTTTAAAGTTTTAAAATGAAAGAGTTCCTCATGGAAGAATCTGACAAGCAGGACTGAATGAATGAGAACAGTCATGATGGTGACCAGGAGTGGGGCAGCTCCTTTGGGACAGTTCCAGCTATCCCCACAGCACGGTCCTGTCCTATCCTCTGTCTGTGTGTCACGGGGGAGTGTGGGTTTGCTGCTACGATGACCCTCCCACCACCATACTATTACTGATAACCTCCCCTCCGGTAGCATACGCATACGCATACGACGTAGGTACTGCTGCAAGAGCAGGAGCCGCTGCTGCTGTGGTGCCCCCGGTGGCCGTAAGACGCAGCGGCGTGTCGTGGACGCGGGAGTATAAATCCCTATCCCCAGGCTTGGTGAGAAGGAGGTGCTGTTCTCCAGGCCGATGGGTGAGCAGGGGCTGGCGGGTGTAGCTCTCCCCGTCCACGAGGCTCTCTGGCAGGGGTTGGTTGCGTGGTTCGGGCAGCAGTAGCAGGCAGATGATACACAGCAGGGTGCAGGCGGCGAAGATCATGTGGTGCAGGAAGTAGCCCTTCTGGTTGTGGAGCTCCATGATAGGGGCCGTCAGCATGCCGAAACCAGCACTGGCCAGGACCAGGCCCAGACCACCACCCCTTAGGAGGGAGGGAGACAAAGAGGGAGAGTTATGATTCAGGAACCACTAGCCAAACACTGAAACCAGACACAGCATACAAAAGATCAGACTCAGACACAAGCAGAAAACACTATCTAGATTCTCAACCTGGAATCAGGGATACACGTAACATAGTAATAGTAAATCCGGCACACTCCAATTAGTATGATATGTGACGTTTCGTATGGTATGTATTAATTTGTGGATGTCCATCATCCATTTCCTATGATATGTTACAAAGTATAATTCGTATGATATTTTACGAATTCCAAATAAAACAATTTGTTGCGAATTCGCAAAACGTATGATATGATACGAATTTCAATTTGTTGTGGCTAACGTTAGCTAGGTGGCCAATGTTAGCTAGGCTAGGGGTTAGGGTTAAGGTTAGGAGTTAGGGTTAAGATTAGGGGAAGGGTTAGCTAACATGCTAAGTAGTTGCAAAGTAGCTAAAATGTAGTAAGTAGTTGCAAAGTTGCTAAAATTGTCCGTGATGAGATTGGAACATGCAACCTTTGGGTTGCGAGACATTCGCATTATATGCCTACCTTGACCAACCACTCTACCATTGTTTTTGCCTTAAGTAACCTTCTGTCTTATGGAACCATACCAAACGTAACATATCACACTAATTTGAGTGTCTCTGCCTTATGTTTACTATGTTACGTCTAGTCTATGAGACCAGGCTGAGATTCTAGAACAGTTGTCTCTGTCAAATTGCATTTATATGACACATACAGACTACACCACAAGATGGCGTTGGTAGGCCATTCTAACACATATGTACTTGACGGGATTTTAATTTTTTTTGTCATTTAGCAGACGCTCTTATCCAGAGCGACTTACAGGAGCAACTAGGGTTAAGTGCCTTGCTCAGGGGCACATCGACAGATTTTTCACCTAGTCGGCTCGGGATTAGAACCAGGTGGGGCGGCAGGTAGCTTAGTGGTTAAGAGCGTTGTGCCAGTAACTGAAAGGTCACTGGTTCTAATCCCCGAGCCGACTAGGTGAAAAATCTGTCGATGTGCCCTTGAGCAAGGCACTTAACCCTAGTTGCTTCTGGATAAGAGCGTCTGCTAAATGACCCCCCCAAAAAAAAAGAACCAGCGACCTTTCGGTTACTAGCACAATGCTCTTGACCACTAAGCTACCTGCCGACATAATTTTCAAATAAGTGTGTGTAGTTATAGGAATCCAATAACTGTTGGTGTGTGTGGGTGCGGTCAGACCATACATAGTGTGTGTGTGTGTTACCTGATGACGGTGGGAGTGATCTCAGCGCAGAAGAAGATGCTGAGGGTGCTGACGGCGTGAGAGGAGAACATTCCGATGATGGAAAACGCCACCGAGAACTTCCTGTTTAGTGTGTCCCTCAGAACTAACCAGACAAGAGAAGGATGAGAAACATGAGAGGAGGTGAGATACATTGTACATCATAAATATAAAAATTTAATTTACTGGGTCTAGTCATAATAGAAAACTGATCACGGAAAACAGTTGGTGTACTGGCCCGCCTTTAATTTTGTTTAACGACTGTTTTGTTGATTCTACAACACAAAATCAACAGATGGAGCATGAGCCTGGCCTGTAGCGCTGCAACCCAGAGCAACTGATTGGCATATTTTTTCAATCGGTCTGAGTGTGATTTTATAAAGTCAAATTGTACCTGTGTCATGGCGAAGGCTGTACTTCCCAATCACTGTATTCAAGGAAAGGTCATGGGTGGGGGAAGAAAAATAGTGAAAATGAGTATAGCCATTAGAAAATCTCATTATTTGTATGACAGATACAGATCTGATATAACGACAACAGAGTAATGATATAGAAAAGGGTATTCTCCTAGTAGTGACTTCTCTGAATCACTGGAATAAGTCCATTATCTGAGCATGTTGTTTGTGTATAACAGGTTCAGAATATAATGGGGTGTTATTGCTTTGTAAGTTCCCATGTAAATAACTATTTGTGGATGGACTATGAGAGGGATGCTCACATTGGTCACTCGTTAAAACATCTGACAAAACGTGGGCTTTCAAAGGCCGACGGTTGACCTAAATGTTTATTTCTTGGACATAGAATTTCTGTGTGTGTGTGTGTGTTTCACGTGTGTGAAATGCATAACACGTGTGTCTGTACTCTACTCACAGTTGAGCAGGCCCAGCTGCAGTAGTGATGCCAGGGCAGTGATTATCATGAAGGTGAGGAGTCCGCCCCGACGACCCATGAACGCCACGGCCGGGCACAGCGCCAGGCAGGTTGCTACGGCGATGCCGGCCATGGTGTAGTAGTCGGCATGGAACATGGCCGACACAGGAGCCTCTGGGTCCATCATACTGCGGGCAAAACAGTGGTGGATACCGTACCCCGTCAGCCTACAGATACACACATCAACACATTATTAGCGAGAGCAAAACAGTGGTGGATACTGTACCATGTCAACCAGCAGAGAGAAAGACATGTAGCGGAGGTGAGTGGGACTGACGCCAGTATGATGAAGTAACTTAAAATCAGTATCAACCTCCTCGTGGTCTAAGGGTTATGACATTGGTTCCCCAAGTGGGAGACCCAGGTTCAGATCCTACCAGTTACACACACACACCATCATTACTAGCAGCAAGACAGTGCTGCAAACCATATGCCATCAATCTAGAGGGAGAGACGCGCTGAACTGGTACGGAGCCTTGTCTTCATGGGGAACATAGCTCATGTGTAATTCATGTTCTGTTTGGCACATTGCCCTACGACTTTTACTCCTTATTGTTATTCATTATTTACTGTGTATTTATTCCTCATGTCCCTATTTTTTATTTTTCATCTTTAACTCTGCATTGTTGGAAAGGACCCGTAAGTAAGCATTTCACTGTTAGTCTACACCAATTATTTGCGAAGCAAAATAAGATTTGACTTGATTTCACACAGCTGCACACACACACGCAAACGCACACAGAGAGAGAGAGACTTACGAGTTGACACAGAGCACCACGATGTTCTTCCACAGGTTTCTGGTGCTGGTCATCTTGACGATGCAGGTCCTCTTTGGCTTCTTATGCAGCTCATGCTCCAGCTCTGGTGGTGAGACACGACACACAATAAGACCTTCCCACTGGCAGGGAAGCAACACACACACACACACACACACACACACACACACACACACACACACACACACACACACATACAGACTCCACAGTAATGTTCTGTGGGTGGATGTGTGTATGAGATCTGAAATAAAACACTTTATTTTATTGATCCAGCAGTACCTATTAATCTGCTCCCTGCTTTAAAATATTTTCTCATAGTTTAAAGCTGTGTGTGTGTGTCTGGGATTAAGCCGTGCATATATTTCATCAAATTAAACTAGAGTCCTGCAGTTGCACATGTGAAAATGAACGCGTACGTGCATAGTCCGTGTGTGTCACTGTGTCTGACTGACTGAATCCATTGCATACACATTTCATCACTGAAATCAGAGACCTGCAGCTACATGTTGTGTATAACAACAATACAATCAGTGCAAATGCAATTGACAATGTGTTGTTGTGAGTCTACGTGTGACACCCCATACGTATATACAGTGGGGAAAAAAAGTATTTGGTCAGCCACCAATTGTGCAAGTTCTCCCACTTAAAAAGATGAGAGAGGCCTGTAATTTTCATAGGTACACGTCAACCATGACAGACAAAATGAGGAAAAAAATTCCAGAAAATCACATTGTAGGATTTTTAATGAATTTATTTGCAAATTATGGTGGAAAATAAGTATTTGGTCGATAACAAAAGTTTCTCAATACTTTGTTATATACCCTTTGTTGGCAATGACACAGGTCAAACGTTTTCTGTAAGTCTTCACAAGGTTTTCACACACTGTTGCTGGTATTTTGGCCCATTCCTCCATGCAGATCTCCTCTAGAGCAGTGATGTTTTGGGGCTGTCGCTGGGCAACACGGACTTTCAACTCCCTCCAAAGATTTTCTATGGGGTTGAGATCTGGAGACTGGCTAGGCCACTCCAGGACCTTGAAATGCTTCTTACGAAGCCACTCCTTCGTTGCCCGGGCGGTGTGTTTGGGATCATTGCCATGCTGAAAGACCCAGCCACGTTTCATCTTCAATGCCCTTGCTGATGGAAGGAGGTTTTCACTCAAAATCTCACGATACATGGCCCCATTCACTCTTTCCTTTACACGGATCAGTCATCCTGGTCCCTTTGCAGAAAAACAGCCCCAAAGCATGATGTTTCCACCACCATGCTTCACAGTAGGTATGGTGTTCTTTGGATGCAACTCAGCATTCTTTGTCCTCCAAACACGACGAGTTGAGTTTTTACCAAAAAGTTATATTTTGGTTTCATCTGACCATATGACATTCTCCCAATCCTCTTCTGGATCATCCAAATGCACTCTAGCAAACTTCAGACGGGCCTGGACATGTACTGGCTTAAGCAGGGGGACACGTCTGGCACTGCAGGATTTGTGTCCCTGGCGGCGTAGTGTGTTACTGATGGTAGGCTTTGTTACTTTGGTCCCAGCTCTCTGCAGGTCATTCACTAGGTCCCCCCGTGTGGTTCTGGGATTTTTGCTCACCGTTCTTGTGATCATTTTGACCCCACGGGGTGAGGTCTTGCGTGGAGCCCCAGATCGAGGGAGATTATCAGTGGTCTTGTATGTCTTCCATTTCCTAATAATTGCTCCCACAGTTGATTTCTTCAAACCAAGCTGCTTACCTATTGCAGATTCAGTCTTCCCAGCCTGGTGCAGGTCTACAATTTTGTTTCTGGTGTCCTTTGACAGCTCTTTGGTCTTGGCCATAGTGGAGTTTGGAGTGTGACTGTTTGAGGTTGTGGACAGGTGTCTTTTATACTGATAACAAGTTCAAACAGGTGCCATTAATACAGGTAACGAGTGGAGGACAGAGGAGCCTCTTAAAGAAGAAGTTACAGGTCTGTGAGAGCCAGAAATCTTGCTTGTTTGTAGGTGACCAAATACTTATTTTCCACCATAATTTGCAAATAAATTCATAAAAAAACCTACAATGTGATTTTCTGGATTTTTCTTTCTCAATTTGTCTGTCATAGTTGACGTGTACCTATGATGAAAATTACAGGCCTCTCTCATCTTTTTAAGTGGGAGAACTTCCACAATTGGTGGCTGACTAAATACTTTTTTCCCCCACTGTATACTGCATGGCCAGCTGCAAACCAGGGGTGTGTGTAGACACTGATGGAATAAGTGTGGTTCCGTTTAACTCAGGGTCTCTCCTCGCTCTGCCTCTCCATCTCCCCTCTTTCTCTCCACCTCTCCCCTCTGTGTATCACCACCTACCACCTCTCTATCTCTCCTCTCTCCACCTCTCTTCTTTCTCGATGTCTCTCTACTTCTTCCTCTCCATCTTCCTCACCTGCTAGAATGCCGCTGGGTTCAGTTGTCATGTCGACCTGGTTCTTCCTGGCGATGCGGAGCATCATGGCTTTAGAGCGGCGGTAGTGCTGCGTGGCCAGGAGCCAACGCAGGGACTCTGGGAAGATCCTACAGAGAGAAGTAAACATGAGAAAGAGAGAGAGAATGACAGAAGGGAAATGAGAGAAAGATGGTATTGTCTGAGCATGCAGTGTGTAGTGTACTGTTTAAGCCGAAACCTGGTCCTGATGAGCAAGTCTTTATAGGCCGGTGGCAAGGCCCACACATTTTTTAGATACCCCTACCCGAAGTAGAACAAAACACAACCATGTTTTTTCACATCCCTAATGTCTCCCATTTATTAAATGGATGGTTGTGTCAAAATATTTTACTGCAAAAGTGGTTAAATTTATAGATATTGTGCCACAACCCCTAAACTAAAAAAGTGCTTAATAATGCCTGGCTGGAGGGGGGATGGACCGCAAAAGCTCATGTATCCTACTGTACATACACAAACAAACAGCATTAGGATATTTTAATGCATAGACCTGTAAACACAGAGATACAACAGGTGGAAATGTCAACTATGAATATTTATGATGAATGTAAGCTTAACTTTTGGTAGCTGATTAATAGACAACTTTCCAAGTCAAATTTGCTCTCATTCACTGCTGTATGGTCCTGCCTGACAAGAATACATACAGTTACACATGTTTTTTGATGTTGTGGCTATGGTAATCTGCTCTAAGGGAAACAAGTGGGTTCAGACATCGGAATTAGATTTTTTGGGGTTCAAGGTTCCTTCCCACTGGGCACAGACGTCAATTCAACTTGTATTCCACGTTGGTTCAACGTCATTTCATTGAAATGACACGGAAACAACATTGATTCAGTGGGTTGAAGGATTTTGTTACTTAAGCCCCTACTCTTGTAATTAAAGTCAGGGGCCACCACAGATGATGTTTGGGGCCACCATGGATTTTGACTCAAATACAATATGGTGTCAACAATCCAATATGGCTGCCGTAGTACCATTTGATGGAGGTTAAATCACCTGTTAATATGAATTTTAGAGATGAGAGGCATCTTTTTCAGAATTGTGTACAACACTCATGCCCACAAAGACTGTTTTGGTGTAATTTTATTCTGAATCCAATATGGCCAAACACCTTCCCCTGCATATACGTTGCCCTTGTTTATTTTGTATTGTGTTATTCTGTCTTTTAAAAGGGTTCATTAAGTCTCTTTGTATATCTAGGACTATGAGTGGCACTGCCAAGCCTCTGAAGTGTTTGATTAGCTGAAGCCAAATAGCTTTTCAATGTGTGTTCATGTTTAAATCTTCGTAAGGGTCCCAGAGATAAAACGTACATTTTGTATTACCATATCATTTTTGTACGTTCTCTATAGTTATGTACTTGAAAATGTATCAATTGACCAATTCGGCACATTTGGGCAGACTTGATACAAAATAGTCCAGTATTGCAATGCTTCACTTGATCAATCTGAAACTTTGCACACACACTAAACTGCAATATTATATTGTGGCCTTTCTCTTGCATTTCAAAGATGATTGAACAAAAAAAATAATAGAAAACGCATGTGTTATATCTAATGTGTTATATTCTCCTACATTCATTTCACATTTCCACAAACGTCAAAGTGTTTCCTTTCAAATGGTATCAAGAATATACATATCCAGGCAGTTAGATTTGGGTATGTCATTTTAGGCGAAAATTGAAAACAAGGGTCAGATCCTTAAGAGGTTAAATAGAGGTTACTTAGAGTGTAGGTCATAGACTACGACTAAGAAGCATTATGGGGGACGTAGCACAGCTCCACACACATACAGTTGAAGTTGGAAGTTTACATACACCTTAGCCAAATACATTTAAACTCGGTTTTCCACAATTCCTGACATTTAATCCTAGTAAAAATTCCCTGTCTTAGGTCAGTTAGGATCACCACTTTATTTTAAGAATGTGAAATGTCAGAATAATAGTAGACAGAATGATTTTATTTTATTCCTTTCATCACATTCCCAGTGGGTCAGAAGTTTACATACACTCAATTAGTATTTGGTAGCATTGCCTTTAAATTGTTTAACTTGGGTCAAACGTTTCGGGTAGCCTTCCACAAGCTTCCCACAATAAGTTGGGTGAATTTTGGCCCATTCCCCCTGACAGAGCTGGTGTAACTGAGTCAGGTTTGTAGGCCTCCTTACTCGCACACGCTTTTTCAGTTCTGCCCACAGATTTTCTATAGGATTGAGGTCAGGGCTTTGTGATGGCCATTCCAATACCTTGACTTTGTTGTCGTTAAGCCATTTTGCCACAACTTTGGAAGTATGCTTGGGGTCATTGTCCATTTGGAAGACCCATTTGCGACCAAGCTTTAACTTCCTAACTGATGTCTTGAGATGTTGCTTCAATATATCCACATAATTTTCCTTCCTCATGATGCCATCTATTTTGTGAAGTGCACCAGTCCCTCCTGCAGCAAAGCACCCCCACAGCATGATGCTGCCACCCGCGTGCTTCACGGTTGGGATGGTGTTCTTCGGCTTGCAAGCCACCCCCTTTTTCCTCCAAACATAACGATGGTCATTATGGCCAAACAGTTCTATTTTTGTTTCATCAGACCAGAGGACATTTCTCCAAAAAGTACGATCTTTGTCCCCATTTGCAGTTGTAAACCGTAGTCTGGGTTTTTTATGGCGGTTTTGGAACAGTGGCTTCTTCCTTGCTGAGCGGCCTTTCAGGTTATGTCGATATAGGACTCGTTTTACTGTGGATATAGATACTTTTTAACGTGTTCCCTCCAGCATCTTCACAAGGTCCTTTGCTGTTGTTCTGGGATTGATTTGCACTTTTCGCACCAAAGTACGTTAATCTCTAGGAGACAGAATCCGCCTCCTTCCTGAGCGGTATGACGGCTGCATGGTCCCATGGTGTTTATACTTGCGTACTATTGTTTGTACAGATTAACGTGGTACCGTCAGGCATTTGGAAATTGCTCCCAAGGATGAACCAGACTTGTGGAGGTCTACAATTTTGTTTTCTGAGGTCTTGGCCGATTTCTTTTGATTTTCCCATGATGTCAAGCAAAGAGGCACTGAGTTTGAAGGTAGGCCATGACATCATTTTCTGGAATTTTCCAAGCTGTTTAAAGGCACAGTCAACTTAGTGTATGTAAACTTCTGACCCACTGGAATTGTGATACAGTGAATTATAAGTGAAATAATCTGTCTGTAAACAATTGTTGGAAAAATGACTTGTGCCATGCACAAAGTAGATGTCCTAACCGACTTGCCAAAACTACAGTTTGTTAACAAGAAATGTGTGGAGTGGTTGAAAAACGAGTTTTAATGACTCCAACCTAAGTTTATGTAAACTTCCGACATCAACTGTATACAGTACATTTGAAGATCGTCCCTGGGCTTTGTGGACAGTAAAGGGGTTGCAGAGGAGGTAGAGCTGGCCAAGCATGGTGCACAAAGGCCAATATCTCACAGTCAATACCCAGCCACCATACTGATGACATACAGCATCTTTGTTTAAATTTGACCATCCTAAGGGGCCTCTTGTTTGCTATAGATGGCACATGTCTTTAAAGGGATGTTGGGGTTACTGCACAGTTTCCCAGACCAATGTAGAAGTCTCTCTAATGTGAGAGCTCATTCTTTACATGTGAGTCCAGTTCAGGTATCACATGGGCTGGCCAGCCATGGTTGGTAGCAAAATGGATACCTATGAGGGCAATGCACGCCAGCACTTTCTAGATGGAATTTTGGCTGTCGAATGGCCTCATGACCTGTGGCAGTCCAGTTCCATGGTGTCTCTGTCATTAGTAACTGCCAGACGGGAGGACTTATGGTTGAGTGGGCCTATTGAGGACAGTTCTGGGAGATTCAGGATAGCATTGACATTGGAGAGGTGCAATTCCTACCATATTATGTGAAGGCCTAGTAAGTTGATGGCATTTCTTGTCAATGAGTGTCTGGTTGTGTTGGTTCATTGTAGTGAACACCTGCCTTATGTGCTTGTCATCATGTGTGGTTGCATCCTACACATACAGTGCCTTCGGAAAGTCTTCAGAACCCTTTGTTACGTTAGAGCCTTATTCTGAAATGGATTAAATAAATAAAAATCCTCAGCAATCTACACACAAAACCCCATAATGACAAAGCGAAAACAAGTTTTTAGAAATTTTACAACATTTCTAAAATGTAGAAACAGAAATACCTTATTTACATAAGTATTCAGACCCTTTGCTATGAGACTCGAAATTGAGCTCAGGTGCATCCTGTTTCCATTGATCATCCTTGAGATGTTTCTACAACTTGATTGGAGTCCACCTGTGGTCAATTCAATTGATTGGACATGATTTGGAAAGGCACACACCTGTCTATGTAAGGTCCTCTGTGGAGATGGGAGAACCTTCCAGAAGGCAACCATCTCTGCAGCACTCCACCAATCAGGCCTTTATGGTAAAGTGGCCAGACGGAAGCCACTCCTTGGTAAAAGGCACATGACAGCCCGCTTGGAGTTTGCCAAAGGGCACCTAAAGACCATGAGAAACAAGATTCTCTGGTCTGATGAAACCGAGATTGAACTCTTTGGCCTGAATGCCAAGCGTCGAGTCTGTAGGAAACCTTGCACCATCCCTATGGTGAAGCATGGTGGTGGCAGCATCATGCTGTGGGGATGTTTTTCAGCGGCAGGGACTGGGGGACTAGTCAGGATCGAGGAAAATGTGAACGGAGCAAAGTACAGAGAGATCCTCAATGAAAACCGGCTCCAGAGCTCTCAGGACCTCAGACTGGGGCAAAGGTTCACCTTCCAACAGGACAATGACCCTAAGCATACAGCCAAGACAACGCAGGAGTAGCTTTGGGACAAGTCTCTGAAAGCCCGGACTTGAACCTGATCGAACATCTCTGGAGAGACCTGAAAATAGCTGTGTAGCAACGCTCCCCATCCAACCTGACAGAGCTTGAGAGGATCTGCAGAGAAGAATGGGAGAAACTCCCTAAATACAGGTGTGCCAAGCTTGTAGCGTCATACCCAAGAAGACTTGAGGCTATAATCGCTGCCAAAGGTGCTTCAACAAAGTACTGAGTAAAGGGTCTGAATACTTATGTAAATGTAATATTTCAGTTTATTATCTTTAATACATTAGCAAAAATGTCTAAAAACCTGTTTTTGCTTTGTCATTATCGGGTATTGTGTGTAAATTGATTAGGGAAAATAACTATTTTATCAATTTTAAAATAAGGCTGTAACATAACAAAATGTGGAAAAAGTCAAGGGGTCTGAATACTTTCTGAAGGCACTGTACTCCATAATGTCACCAAGTCAACATACAGCAACTCCATGGCAGACAGACAGGATGGTGGACATGGTTTTCTGGAAAAAGCAATGTGCCAGCTCAACCTGAACTGCATACGAGTGCACTGAAACATCCCAATGTGGACCACTAATGCAGTGAGCCAGCGGAAAGTCATGTTGGATTCAGGAAGCCGTAATGGACTAGCCATGAATCAAAGCTCACTTTTAAATGATAAGGAGGTGACTTAAGAGCACAAGTTGTACCACAGTGGGGGCAAGATGTAGAGTTAGGGAGAGTCCAGGGTTGGATTTGCTTTCCTTTCGTTGGAGCCTCCCGAGTTTCCTCATTGATCCTCAAAGAGGCTCGTAACTTGGAATACTAGTTGTTGCCATGCCAAGCAGTCTGCTGCCTTTTCTACACTGAAAAAATATATAAACGCAACATGTAAAGTGTTGGTCCCATGTTTCATGAGCTGAAATAAAAGATTGAAGAAATGTTCCATACGCACAAAAGGTTTATTTCTCTCAAATTTTGTGCACACATTTGTTTACATCCCTGTTAGTGAGTATTTCTCCTTTGCCAAGATAATCCATCCACTTGACAGGAGTGGCATATCAAGAAGCTGATCATTGTGCTGGGGACAATAAAAGGCCACTCTAAAATGTGCAGTTTTGTCACACAACACAATGCCACAGATGTCTCAAGTTTTGAGGGAGCGTGCAATTGGCATGCTGACTGCTGGAATGTCCACCAGAGCTGTTGCCAGAGAATTGAATGTTAATTTCTCTACCATAAGCCACCTCCAACGTCATTTTTAGAGAATTTGGCAGTACGTCCAACTGGCCTCACAACCACAGATCACGTGTATGGCGTCGTGTGGGTGAGCGGTTTGCTGATGTCAACGTTGTGAACAGAGTGCCCCGTGGTGGTGGTGGGGTTATGGTATAGGCAGGCATAAGCTACGGACAATGAACACAATTGCATTTTATCGATGGCAATTTGAATGCACAGAAATACCGTGACGCGATCCTGAGGCCCATTGTGAGGCCCATTTTTTTAAAGGTATCTGTGACCAACAGTCATGTGAATTCCATAGATTAGGGCCTAATGAATTTATTCAATTGACTGATTTCCTCATATGAACTGTAACAGTAAAATCTTTGAAATTGTTCCATGTTGCGTTTATATTTTTGTTCAGTATATATCCAGACAAAGGTGTTTGAGTGTAATTATGGCAGGCATATTGGATTCCCAACAAATTTGAATTGCACACAGGGGCGGTGTGTTCAATAGGGCGATATGGGCGACGCACTGCCAAACGGGAAAAGGAAGGGATTTTTTTTCTAATCAATTATATCACGGCAACAGTAGTTATCAGTGTTGTAATCTAGACGTCTGATCTGCCACAGTGCCACTAAATGTCCAATCAGGCTAAAGTCGTGCTTCAAATGGCCCCCCCCCCCCCCCCCTTTTGGGGCGATTTCAGTCAGGTTGAAAATCGCCCAGAAGTCTCTCATAGCCTCTAATGTAAAATCAATTTTTTTCAAATATCAGAGCTTTCAATACAATCTCTATGGGTTTCTGAGGGCTTGCACTTACGCGCTTTCGTCATACGTAACGTAACCATGAACGTAACTAAAAAAAGAGTGGGTAGCCTCATCAATCAATTCACTACTACTGTGAAAATGGCTATAGCGTTCAGTGCAACTCGATTGTCTCTTTGAAATAAGTTACTTTTTGTCGGCGAACAAATGAAGATAAATTGGCAACGAAACAATTAGGACCTCCCAGACCAAATTTAATAATTCAACAGGTTTCTACTAAAGGGGGGAAGTCCTACACCCGAGGATTTTCCAAAAATTGGTACGAACGAAAAACCTGGCTAGCAGGCTGCGATGTAGCTAATGCAGTCTTCTGCTACCCCCTGCTTACTCTTTCACCCTGAAGGCGGCACGGCAGACAGCACCGCTTGGACAGCGACTGGTGTGTAACGGACATGCACCATCTTTCAGGAAAGATTAAGAAACATGAGCTGTCAAAGACCCACATGGATAGCTGTTTGAGATTGTCTGCTTTGGGGAGAGTGAACATTCCCACTCAACTGGATGAGGGATACAGGCTAGCTGTCCGCCGCCACAACGATGAGGTTAGTGTTGATAATCACAAGTTTACTGGAGAACTGAAACTGACAAGGCTGACAAGATAGGACCCTTTTGTCCATTGTTATTGGATAGGAACAGAACTTATAACCAGCTCCTGACCTAAATAGATCTTAGCACAACATTTTACTCAACATATCATATTCCATATTCACTATAACAAATATATTTACTACGACATTAGCAAGAACCGCCACATCCTCAGCCGGCTAATCCAGTGTGTGAAGTTTTGCGGAGTGTTTGAGTTAGCTTTGCGAGGCAAAGATGAAACTGAGGGCTCCACCAACCCTGGTAAGCCAACACTTTTGAGATCAGTCAATAAATGCTTCTGGTATTGACTTATATGCTGCCCCTGTCTTCATGTTGTTGCTGGACATATCTTTTTTTAAATGTGTGTAGGTCACCTAAATCATCAGAAAAATTGCCCCCCCTGAGAATTTTTTCAGGAGCCGCCACTGATTGCACATAAATAGTATTGAGTACAGATCATAAGAACAGTACACAAATCTGAAAGCTTTTCTATATACAGATGATTTACCCACCATTTAATGGTATCATGGCAGCCATATTAGATGTTGGGTGAAATCTAGGGGGGCCCCCCTAATGTAGAAGAGGAAACTTTAACTGAAAAAAAAAAGACAATTTTCAGTGTCTGAGCCCACTTGTTTTTCTTAGAGCCGATTAGATTACAATAGCCACAACATTGAAAAATGTGTAACTGTATGTATGTTTGTCAGGCAGGACCATACAGCAGTGAATGACAGCAAATTTGACTTGGAAAGTTGTCTATTAATCAGCTACCAGAAAGTAAAGCTTACATTCATCATGATTATTCATAGATATACATTTACGCCTATTGTATCTCTGTGTTTACAGGTCTATATTTCCAAGATGCATTAAGATATCCTAATGCTGTTTTTTGTTTATGTAGTGCAGACAACTGAATACTTGTATTTCAAATTTTAGCAATATCAGAGCTTGCAATATTGGGTTACATGAGCTTATATGGCCAATCCCCACTCCAGCCAGGCATTATTCTGCACCTTTTGAGTTTAGGTGGTATGTCACAATATCTATCAATTTAACCACTTTTGCAGTCAAATACATTTACACAACCATCCATTTTATAAATGGAGACATAAGAGATGTGAAAAAACATGGTTGTGTTTTGTTCTACCTCGGGTAGGGCTATCCTTTTTGAGGACTGGCCACTAGCATATTAACCTCTAACCCCACAGCATGGTGGAATCCCTGGGGTTTTCTCGTTTGGGAAAAAGTCTGTCCTCTGTCCTCTTTCCTCCGTCCTCTCTTCTCTCTTCTGTGACATGGAAACTGATGAGTGATCGAGGAGAGTGTCAATTTGTTAATAGGCAAACGGAAGAGGGTCCTCCCCTCCTCGATAGCCACCTTTCATCGATAGGCTACTCGTGCATCCTATCGCAGAATAATTTTGAAATCTGCCACACCCACTCTGAATCAGCTTTTGTTTTGTCAGAGGATAAAAACATGCACACGTTTAAAAACAATATGCTACTTATTGTTTTATCTATAAACTGTCTTGCACAACTAACTTAATTTGTTTTGAGCACTTTACACATTTATTTTGGTATCCACCCCTATAAATGTAATTTGCTTAATGACGCGAGAGTGGAGAAGAACGGACTCATTTCAAGCAAGCACATTTCCATCCACGTTCACTCTCCTCGCCGACTCCCCTCGATTAACTTTGAATTTTTACAAAAGGAGGCGAGAGAGGATGGAGGAGAGAGGATGCAGGAGGTGAGCAAATCTAATTGATAAAAGGCCCGTCAGTGGACTGAGCTACTTCATGAGTGGGAGTGGCCACTCACTAAGTTGGTGTGGCTATCCCCTCAGTGGGCAGGACTCCATGGTACTTCTAATTTCAACCTCTAACTCTAGCATGATTGTCTCAACAGAATGGTGGTAACATGGAAGACATTTGGGTGGGGCTCTTTACCAGACGTAGGGCAACATCAGGATGAAGGGGCAGATGATGATGATCTGCAGGACCTGCCAGTCATCCTGGACCGGCCAATCACGACAAAGAGCCGCCACCCCGGGCATCACCAGCTGCCCGCCCACCATGAGAAAACTGGCCACCATGGTCATGGAAAAACGCCAGCCTGGCAGGCACAGCTCAATCCCTATGGAGGAGGGGGGGGGAGAGGGGGAGAGAGGTTAGACATATAGCCAGCATGGCCATGGAGAAAGGCCAGCTTGGCAGGCACAGCTCAATCTCCAGAGAGAGAGAGGGAGAGGGACAGAAGTTACAGCCAGAGAAATTGAGCGGGTTCAGTGAGTTCAGTCTCAGAGCTTTTTGTATGTTCATGCTATAAAGGGCTTTTCATCCTACTGAGCAAAACCTAGCTGAGCCCAATTCAAACTGTACTGAGCTGGCCTGGTTACGCATCCACCATAGTTGCTGAAACAGAAAAGGACAATCTGAAAAAAAAAGATCTGCACCAGAACAGTTTGGTTCGGGTAGGCACGATGGTGGGTAGGCTATAATGGCATACATCACTGCGGTATAGTGCTGTAGCTCTCTGATGTAGCTTAGCTGTCTGTTCAAATGCCTAAACGGTCTCAGCTACAACTCATTCCCTCAATTAATAATTGAATACCCCTCTGTGTCACAACTTTTCCTCAGAAGCCTGCAGTTAACCACCAGTTAATGATCAGTTAACAACCAGTGAACCATGAGCTCACCTAACTGTCAGAAATACACATTAGGGCCATTCTCAAGAGTTCAGTCAGTGAGCCATTTCACAGATACCGTCCCTTTCTTCCCTGATTGGGCTGTCATCTCATCCCCCTACCGGCTACCCTGTGGTACAGTCCAGATGGTCCACTCCAGATGGCAAGGTCTATTTGAAGGTGACCAGTAGGGGGGTGTAGGAGAGGGGGTATCTTTGCTGTATGCTCACTAACCAGGGCTCATGTAATGTCACTTCCCATGAGAGAGAGAGAGAGAGAGAGAGAGAGAGAGAGAGAGAGAGAGAGAGAAGAGAGGAGAGAGGCGAGAGAGAGAGCGAGATAGAGAGAGAGAGATGACGAGAGAGCTCTAGATAGAGAAGCTACGATAGAGGCTGAGAGAGAGAGGGTTCGAGAGCTGACGCTCTCGCTCTAGTCTCATAGCGCTACTTCCTGCTCTCTCTCGTCTCTTCGCTCTGCTACTGCTCCTCTCCTATCCTTTCGCTGCTATCTCTATCTCTTCGCTCTCTCTCTCTCTCACTCTTCCGCGACCTCCTCCCTCTGTCTTCCTTTTTCTTTTTTACACTTTACCGCACCACGCCCCACCCTCCATCCCCCTTTTGTTCCATCGCTGAGAGGGAGAAAGACTGCTCTTGTGTTGATTACCTACCTCCCTGACGACCCCCCCCCTCTCCTCATCTTCCTCTGCCTCTCCCTCCCCTCCTCTCTCTGCCTCCCCCAACTTGCTTCATCCCCCTCCTACTCTCTCTCTCTCCTTCCTTCGCCCCACTGCTCTCTTCTCAGCTGAAGAGGCTCTACCCTCAAAAGCTGCCACCCACACCCCCTGCCCTTGTTCCCCTGCTTCTCCTTTCACAAGGACGCAATCCTCTGACCAAGGACGCAATCCTCTGACTAAGGCTGAAAGTGATCAGCTGCAGAGAGAAGAGAGAGATAGAGAGAGATAGACCTACAGTGAGGGAAGAAAGTATTTGATCCCCTGCTGATTTTGTACGTTTGCCCACTGACAAAGACATGATCAGTCTATAATTTTAATGGTAGGTTTATTTGAACAGTGAGAGACAGAATAACAACAAAAAAATCCAGAAAAACGCAAGAGTCCTCTCTCCTCCGTGAACCGATTAGTGGTCGAGGAGTGTGTCATTTCGTTAGTAAGCAAAAGGAAGATAGTCCTCCCCTCCTCAATATCATCCTTTTGGTGGGGAAGCACAAGTGTATCCTACCGTGGAAGAGTTCTGATCCACACCCCCTTTGAATCAGCTGTTGTATTGTCGGAGGAGAAAAGCATGCACACATTTAAAAACGATATGCTACTTATTTGTTATCACTTTACACATTTATTTTGGGATCCCCCCTGTAAAGTGGAGAAGGAGCTTCTCATTTCATTCAAGAGCATTTTCGTCCACGTTCACTCTCCTTGCCGCCTCTCCTCGATTACCTTTGACCTTTTTCAAAAGGAGACGAGAGTGGATCCAGGAGTTGAGTAAATTTAATTGAGAAAAGGCCATAGAGACTGAAAAGGGGGGAGAAGTGTATTGCAGCATGGGAATATCTCTCCTCCCTCCTCATGTCCTTTCCTCTTTCTAACTACACTAGGGAGGAGAGCTAGGAGTCAGCTGATACCTGAAGATTGAGAACACCCACTCCAACCTCCTGTACTGAGCTCCTCTCCCCTGGAGCCCAAACACACAGTTCTCTCTCTCTCTCTTTCTCGCTCTCTTTCTCTCTCTTGCACTCTCTTTCTCTCTGTGTGTGTATGTGTGATGAAAGTCTGTGCCCACTCAGCACAGCCCCCTCTGTTCAAACCTTACAGAATCAGACTCAGACCCAGAGCCCGAGCCCAAACCTCCTCCTCATTAGACAGATACTGTAGCAGGCTGTATGACACCTAGTTTCATGTACTGCTCACAATGAAAATGCCTCGGGAAGAGCCTGGTATATCATCCCTTGCTAAATATAGCAGTACCCCTGCTGCCTCCCCCCAAAATATAACAACCCCTTGGGTAGGTGTCATTATTTCAATGTGTATTGTTGGAAATGGACCCGTAAGTAAGCATTTCACTGTTTTTTACGAAGCATGTGACAAATAAAATTTGATTTGACACACACACACACAAACACACATACACACAGTACTGTGAGTCAGGCAGGGAACTTTTGTTCCAGCTGAGATGGAGAAAGACTGCTCGTGTTGATTACCTCACTGACCCCCCTCCTCTCCTCCCTCTCCTCCCCTCCTCTCCTAATCTCCTCTGCTCTCCCTCCCCTCCTCTGCTCTCCCCAAGGCTGATCCCTCTCTCTCCTCCCTCGCCCACTGCTCTCTTCTCAGCTGAAGAGGCTCTACCCTCAAAAGCTGCCACCCACACCCCCTGCCCTTGTTCCCCTGCTTCTCCTTTCACAAGGATGCAATCCTCTGACTAAGGCTGAAAGTGATCAGCTGCAGAGAGAAGAGAGAGATAGAGAGAGATAGACCTACAGTGAGGGAAGAAAGTATTTGATCACCTACTGATTTTGTACGTTTGCCCAATGACAAAGACATGATCAGTCTATAATTTTGATGGTAGGTTTAATTGAACAGTGAGAGACAGAATAACAAAACAAAAATCCAGAAAAACGCATGTCAAAAATATTATACAGTGGGGGAAAAAAGTATTTAGTCAGCCACCAATTGTGCAAGTTCTCCCACTTAAAAAGATGAGAGAGGCCTGTAATTTTCATCATAGGTACACGTCAACTATGACAGACAAATTGAGAAAAGAAAATCCAGAAAATCACATTGTAGGATTTTTAATGAATTTATTTGCAAATTATGGTGGAAAATAAGTATTTAGGACCTTAACGTGCTTCTTCTTGAGCCACTCATTTGTTGCCTTGGCCGTGTGTTTTGGGTCATTGTCATGCTGGAATACCCATCCACGACCCATTTTCAATGCCCTGGCTGAGGGAAGGAGGTTCTCACCCAAGATTTGACGGTACATGGCCCCGTCCATAGTCCCTTTGATGCGGTGAAGTTGTCCTGTCCCCTTAGCAGAAAAACACCCCCAAAGCATAATGTTTCCACCTCCATGTTTGACGGTGGGGATGGTGTTCTTGGGGTCATAGGCAGCATTCCTCCTCCTCCAAACACGGCGAGTTGAGTTGATGCCAACGAGCTCGATTTTGGTCTCATCTGACCACAACACTTTCACCCAGTTCTCCTCTGAATCATTCAGATGTTCATAGGCAAACTTCAGACGGTCCTGTATATGTGCTTTCTTGAGCAAGGGACCTTGCAGGCGCTGCAGGATTTCAGTCCTTCATGGCGTAGTGTGTTACCAATTGTTTTCTTGGTGACTATGGTCCCAGCTGCCTTGAGATCATTGACAAGATCCTCCCATGTAGTTCTGGGCTGATTCCTCACCGTTCTCATAATCATTGCAACGCCATGAGATGACATCTTGCATGGAGCCCCAGGCCGAGGGAGATTGACAGTTATTTTGTGTTTCTTCCATATGCAAATAATCGCACCAACTGTTGTCACCTTCTCACCAAGTTGCTTGGCGATGGTCTTGTAGCCCATTCCAGCCTTGTGTAGGTCTACAATCTTGTCCCTGACATCCTTGGAGAGCTCTTTGGTCTTGGACATGGTGGAGAGTTTGGAATTTGATGGATTGATTGCTTCTGTGGACAGGTGTCTTTTATACAGGTAACAAGCTGAGATTAGGAGCAGTCCCTTTAAGAGTGTGCTCCTAATCTCAGCTTGTTATCTGTATAAAAGACACCTGGGAGCCAGAAATCTTTTTGATTGAGAGGGGTTCAAATACTTATTTCCCTCATTAAAATGCAAATCAATTTATAACATTTTTGACATGCGTTTTTCTGGATTTTTTTTTTGTTATTCTGTCTCTCACTGTTCAAATAAACCTACCATTAAAATTATAGACTGATCATTTCTTTGTCAGTGGGCAAACGTACAAAATCAGCAGGGGATCAAATACTTTTTTCCCTCACTGTATGAAAAGACTTCTACCCTGCTACCATACAGCAGGTAAATACAAGCATTTCCCATGACTGTGCCTCAAAACCCAACGTCTACCTAACCTACCACTCAACCCTGAACTTGGACAGCCTTTATGACCAGGTCCACCTCTACAAGGCAGCAGTGCCCACCTTCGGCTAAGCCCTAAAGGCGTCTGCATGCTTCCTAGCCGAAACAGTTCGGTAGAGTTCGTGCATATATTATGATGACATTTTGTGGCATTTTTGTCCGTTTTGGACTTCGGCAAGTTTTTTTGGTCTGTTCGAGCACACCAAAATGTTTCTGGAGGCAAGCCGAAGTTCGGAGCCGAAGCCTACGCCCCTTCATCGGTGATTGGTCAATAGTAGGGATTCTTTAATAAAGTCTTTGTTGATTGATGACTCGTTTTCATGCACATTATGTTATTGAAAAATACTGCACCAAACATCTTAGTTAGAGCTCTTCAGTAAAAATGTAAAAATTAAT